CGCCGCATTGTTCATCTGCAAATTCCTTTTGTGAGAACTTTATTTTTACGCACAACTTGTCTTTTCAGAACTTATAGCATCCTTTTACCATTTGTTTCCCAGCCTACCTAAAGTAGATTATTATGTAATGGTAGGGACAGTGTTGCCATATGTAAAAAATTGAGAGTTTATGCAATTCCAGAACAATATTAATGTACATTGAAGTCATGTCTAGAAGATTACAAGAGAATATTGCAAATAATAAACTCACAACTGAGCTTTCAAAAAGAGTATTAGAGAACCACTACGTGCCCTTTTGGACCAATACTAGGTTACTGAGGCAGTGCTAAGATAAAAGAACATTATTCTTATGGAAAAATCTTTATATTATGTTGTTTTTACTCTGCAATAACTCTACCATTGATATTCTGCACTTATGGATAGAATTATTTATTGCCATTAATAATTTTTATTGAATATCTGATATTCTAATCTTATTCCTCTATTTAATTTAAAAAAGAAACATTGCATTTATGTTCTGTTCTTAAGTTTAAAATTTGTGTTCGATTTTTGCCTGATGATGAAGGTTGTATGTCTTCAAAAATACTTGCAAATCTTTAATAAATACATGTTTTTATATTGATGAAGGGAAATTTTTCTTTCGTGTAACAATCCCAGCATAATGTGAAAATTGTTTTTGTCAAGTATTAATTTATTGGAAACTTTCATGTTAACAAAGCAGAGAGTATGCAATGCCCCATACACAAAGTAATGTCTGTCAAGGTGAACTTTTCTTTCATGTAGTCAGAATGATGAGAGGTTACACTTGGTCAGTACTAACTGTTCCTATTTCATGGGAGATAAGGTGACATTAGGGTTGCCACGTGGCCTGCATTGGGCTAGCTTGACTGTCAATTTTAAATCAAGGCTGGCAGTTGTCGGTAATAGTTAAAGGTTGGCAAAACAGTTTAAAATATAAACAAAATTATATTTTAATTGAAAAAATATTATATAAAATTATTTTTTTAATATTTAGTGACAGGGTACATTCTCACTGTACAGAAACGTATGAAGCTAAACTCTATGAGAGGCATGTTTAGGCTTTTTGACGCTTTTATTGGTTCCAGGCTGTCTTATCTATTTCCGGTTTGGGGTTTGGAATATTTGTCTAAAATGGAAAAAGTTCAGATGAAATATTTTAAGAGACTTTTTAAAATAGAACGTTCAATTTCAAGTTCTGCAGTTCGTTTTGAGTTGGGAAGACCACCATTGGAACTGAAATTTGTTAAAGTTATTGTTTTGTTCTGGTCCAAAATCATGGAGTTACCCTCATGTGATTTGCGTCGAATAACATATAATGTTTTGTTAACAGCAGTTAAACATGGTAAGAAAAGTTGGCCAGCTTCAGTTAAAAATATTTTTGATGGCTTGGGTTATTCCTTTTTATTTTTATCTCATTCAGCTTCTTTGTTGAGAACCCATTTAAATTCACTAATTCAAACTAAGTCAGATCAGTTGTGGAACTGGGATATGTCTTCAATATCAGTTAAACGAGTTAATCTGTGTGAATCACGCTTGGTCTGGTGTACAGGAAGTTACTTGAATTGTGAGACTAATTTTTCTACAAAAAGCCTTATTATGCAACTCAGACTAAACAGATTTCGAATTTTGTTCAAAGGTTACCGGATAAATATATCCAGTGAAGGGTGTTGTGAATTCTGTGGTGTAAAAGAAAAAGAAGATCTTCTGACTCATTTGTTTGAATCCTGTCAAGTGACATACCAACTAAAATGTTCTGTATTAGGGGAGGAGTTTAGATGTGATTATTTGAAGAATGAGGTTATGTCAAAAATTTACCTTATTTAAGCTCTTCTCCTTTTTCTCTAAATCTTTGGAATTTCTTCGTTAATTTTACTATGATTTGAATGTTTATATTATTATTTAATTTGTCCCCATTGTAAGAAATTTAAATTTAAATCAATAAACAATAATAATAATAATAATAATAATATTTAGTATGTTTAAGAGTGAGTTTTTGGTAATGTGAGTTGAATCTTTCATTTTTGAAATTTCATTTTAAATACTTTTTAAAGTTTACTTTAGTTTAAAAAATTAACAATTTACATTATGAGCAAAGTACATTCATTAATTAATAAACATGAATGGAAAATGATTGGGAAATCCAGAATCAATCTTTTGAAATAAACCTGAAAATTCTCCATTTATACATGGATTGTAATCTTATTTTAGATAAAGTTAATTTTGTAACACTATCCACAGAGAAATTACAGCTAAAGTTTTTTTTACTAAAAAAGAATCCCATCATATCATCTATGGTCACCATCTTTGAAAACTAATTCCTTGGCCAACATGATGACTAAGGGGATGGGAAAGGTAAATGAGAAGATGTACTACTTTTTTCATTCTTCTTGCAATTGGCATGCCTTGTAAATGCTTTAATTCCATCATCAGTGGTGTAGCGAACATAACTGGCACCCGGACACGACACTTTAGCGGCGCTTTCCTCCCCCTCCAGAAACACATATAGTTTGTCTTGGAGACCATTTGGGCACCCTTCTGTGAGTGGCACCCGGTGCATGATAATTTGCTATTCCCTCTTGCCTTCCTTCGTTATGCCACTGTCCATCATATTCAACACTAAATGAGGTTCAAATGATGCAACGAGCCAAACAAATATCATCATGAAAAGTTGACTAATTTTTGAATTTATTCACATGTATTACAAATCTCTCGAGTAACTCATATTAAAAGAGTCAATTTTAAACACAAAATGGCAGTCAACATAGTACAAACAAGTATTTTTACTTAGAATCAGACAAATAGCATTTGAAAGTTTAACATATTACATCATCATCTGTAAATTATAACACAGACTTTTAAAATTATAATGAGAAAGTTCTTTTATCATTATAAGTAACATGAGTGTGGATCAGTAATGATTTGAGATGTGTTTTCATTAACTGATGTTGGCCCTCTTGTACAGATCAATGGAATTATGGATCACTTTATAAAAACATCCTTGAAAAGCATATGCTGATGTATGCTTGCCAAAAAATGCAGGGGATGGATTTTCCAACAGGACAATGACACCAAATGCACTGCGAATGTGGTGAAAGAGTGGTTTTGTTAGAGATGTAAAGTAGGTGTAAAGTGGTTTTGTTAGAGATGTTTTAGCTTATCGCTCTACAACGAATTTCGTTCCGAAAAGAGCCAGTACCTAACGGGTACTTTACGTGGGTTTACGTTTGTTAGTTTGTCAGGCCTGGACTTTCGCGTGCACCGAAATAAAATTAAAGACAAGTTAGTCAAAATCAATAAAAGTATTTAATAACTATCTCGGAATAACTATTTACAATATTTATAACAAAACAACAAATTTATTCAAACAAATAAAATCCAAAAGTCAATCCGACAAACTTCAATCTTATTCTAACTTAGAACTATTCCCCTTGGAATTCCGACAAAAATCAATCCTTAACTTAAGGTACAGAATTTCTTATAACTACAAAACCTAACCGTCACCTCAATTATACTAGGAACCTTTTTCCAAGTCAAGACTTTCCTATTCCTCGATCCACAAATCGAAAACTGCAAACGCTTTGGACTATTTCCTATTGGACACTTCGTTCACTGCTACCAGTAGACTACGCTTAATCCTTTCAGGAGCTCACCTCTGCTTTCTTCACTTGAGCTACGCTATTTATAGTCTGAGGTGACGTCACAGTTTCTAAGTGAGACACTCCCCTCATTTACATACTTACACGTAACATTCACTTTTTCTTACTTATCTGGTAGTTTAATTCCTGACAATACTTTGTTAACCTTTTACAGTCTTTTGTTGAACAATTATCGGGATGTTTCCTTTAAGGTTTAACAAGTCTCCTAAAAGTCTGTGGGGTCTTTCCCCCCCTTTCAGTGTGGGCTTACTGTCTGCTGCTCGGGCGTGCACATGAGTGCAGTTGCTAGCTATGGCGCTTTCTTTTTTTTCGTCGGTGAGTTGGTTTTATCTTCTCTTTTTAATTTTCTAAGGTGACAGGTGAGGAAACCTTCGTCCTAACTAAACATAAGCCCCAAACAAAATATAATAAAAGTAAAATAAAATAATGCTCGGACTTTGTTCCTTACAGAGAAAAGTGAGGGTTTTGGTCTGGACTAATTTGAGAATAATTGGTTGTATGTTAGGGCAAAAACCACACTTATTAGCAGCTGAATTGTTTGAATCATTGCAGGCAGAGTGGGCTGCAGTCAACAAGAAAACAATTGAAAATTTTACAGACTATATGCCTTGCAGATGGTTGAAAGTTATTAAAGCAAAAGGATGTGACAATATACTAATTTGTATTTCATTTATTACAAGAGAAAACAAATTATATTTCATTTTATTTGTTTTGTCTGAAATAAATGTCGTCATTAAATTTACATTTCAAAACTTTGCTTTTGTAAATTTTCTTATTAATTTGAAACACATAGTTACTTGTTTATTCCAACTTTGACAATTGATTATTACTGCATCATTGTGTTGAATTCTTTTCTATTTGTGTCATTTATTTCTTTTTAGAACAATTACAGATTTTATTTCAAAACATTCATTGTTCAAAATCTTTGTGTCTTGCTACTGTAGATATCATACAGTATCCCATCTAGCTTAATAAGTACTGTACATAATATAGTGTTTGCATATTAAGCAATGCATGACTGTATTTAAAATTTTAAAGTAATTTAATTTTTTCAAAGTATTCTTAAAGTAGTTTTCTTTTGTAATAATATTTATAATTTAATTGTAACAATAAAGAAGAAAAGCTTAAAATATATTATTACTTAACAAAATAAATTTTATTTTCTAAATTAACAGATATTTAGTTTCATTTAAGAACTAAAGATTATTCTATTTGATAGTGAGTTTTAGTTATTTTTTATTTTGCAGCAAATAGAATGTTAAAGGCATGTAATTTTTTAATGAACTAATGATGAAACTCACTAAAAGTAATAATTGTTTTTAGGTATATTATGTCTAATCCTGACCATCCTATTCTAAGAAAACAAGAACTTGATGCATTTCTTGCTCAGGCAGTATCTCCTCATTTAATGAATGCACAACACACCCAAAACATGCAGGTAAGATTAATAAAATTTAGTTTGGAAAAACAAGACGGTTAATAATTAATACAGTTACTGTTGTGAATTATAATTACAGTGGAACCTGATTAACTTGAATTGGTCAGGGAAAATTTGGTGTTTGAGTTAAAAAGTTTGATATTACAGAGATTTGGCTAAAAATTGAGTTTTGTGTGTTGATATATTGGTGACACATAATAAACTGTCCACACAACATTTCTGTGCGTCTTATTATATAGAATCATTGTGTCAATGTAAACCTCTCAATGTTGTCCAGAAATTTGAAAATGCTTAATGGAATGGTTAAATAAGCTACATAGAAATGCTTTCCCAAATAGTTGATCTGTTTGCTCCTATGTGTTTAGTAAGGATTTTTTTTTAAATTGTGAAATTTTACACCTAGAATCAATCTGTTTTTTATTTTTTATTATAAAAAAAACTGCTTATTACAATTGTTATATTTTTAAAATTTTGCTGCATAGATTAAAATTTTTACATAGAATTGGACTTTAATCATTGTTTAAAAATTAATTTATCAAAAATCTGTTTATTTATTATGTCAGCTAGTTAGAAAATATATTAGTAATCAAATTAAACAAAAAAAATGCTTAAAAAAAGCTGGTTTGAATAGCAATTACAATATCTAGGTCACACACTGTCTGGAAATCACCACCCTCCATTTGTCATTATATGACACAATGTTATTTTTAGTTGAATGTTGTTTTTGAGCTTTATAGAAAGTTTTTGATGAGTTTATTTGATAGACAAATGTTAATTATTTTATTTAAATTAAAATTCTGGAGAATTTGTGAAAATACTATATTGAAACCCCATCTGAGTTAAACAGTTTGACAAATTTGAGTTAACTGGTTTGATTTTGTGTGTAAATCACTATTCTGGATGATCGGGGAAAGAAAATGACTTCAAGTTAACCAGGTTTCACTGTATTCATTATTAGTTCATTTCAAAATATGTTCCAATGAAACTAGTTTTTGAAACATACCACATGATGATTTGTCAGTTGAAGTGTGGAACATGAATGCTAAAATGGAGCTGCTTGTTTAGTGTTCTTAATTTTCCACTGGTTTCATGTTTAGACATGTGGCATTACATTGAAGATGGCTGGTTTGGTTATTTACCGATCCATGCAGGATCAGTGAGTGGTAATTCAGTTTTTAATGGCTGAGAGATGCAAGTCAGTGAACATTTATTAGAGAATGGTCACTGTGTACAGAAAAAAGTGCATGTCAAAGAAGACTGTTATTGATTGTTCTGTGAAGGTCAAGGGAAAATAGTGGATTTGCCATGTCCTGGCCAGGCACACAATTTGTGACTAATAGTCTGATTGTAAATATTGACTGTGCTAGCAAAGTTAACTGTCAACAAAGCATCCATGACTTAACAAGTGAATTTGACATTTTTATTGGTACTGTACAGAAGATTGTCCCCCATAACCTGGAATATTGGAAAATATGTTACCTGACAAAAAAACTAGCACATGTAAACTGGAACTATATACTAAACACAAAAATTCACACCTAAATGCTAATTCTAGAAGTAATTGAACAAAAATTTTAATGTTCAAACATTAAAATTTTTGTTCAATTACTGCTGGAATTAGCATTTAGGTGTGAATTTTTGTGTTTAAATGTGTTGCCAATGAGTATTTTGCATATTGACTGAATACTGTAAGGAATATTGAATTGGTCTCAGCTTACAGTATTTGATGCACTACATCAATGATAGTGACTAATTCCTAGGTTCATAGTGTCAGGAGAAAAAATGTGGAATTACCACTTTGAACTGGTAGGAAAGTCTATTAGCATGCAGTGGAAGCATGTCAGCCCATCTAAGCCAAAGAAATTCAAAATACAACAGTCTGTGAGAAAGGTTATGCTGAAGTTTTTCAACATGCATGGATACATCTTACTGGAGTTTAAAAACCCCAATGCTCACTGGTACACAAGAACTCAATAATATGCATACAGCTATCAAAAACAAGCAATCAAGCATGCCGTCTTTGGGAATCATTGTTCTCCAGGACTATGCAAGGTTGCACATCACCAAGGTGTTGTTGATTGTCACTAGCCTATAATAAATGGGAGGGCCTCAAACATTCCGCAAGGAGTTCAGATTTGTTACCATGTGACTTTTCTCTTTATGGACCATTAAAGAAATTCCTGAAGTGTGAAAGATTTAACACTGATAAGGATATAAAGGACACACACAGTTCATGATTGATTCCAGCAGCAACTGAAATCTCTCTTTATGGATGGAATTTAACATCTACCAAACATTGGAATGTCTGTTTCACCATGGGTGACAGACTGACTTCTAAGAAATATTGTATGAAGTAAGCTTCATTAATTAAATATCAATACTATCATTACTATTTGGTTGTGTTTAGTCTTTCTTTTCTTTCTTATCAGATGGCTACACATCTCTAAAGGATTACATTTGAACACACCTTATAGTTCAAAAATTTTATTAGTTATAGCCATTAATGATCTTTGTTTTTTCATAAAGCTACTTATTTCTTGTAGAATAGAATTTGTAAAAACTATTCTTACAATAAAATATCACAAAATCACACTTTTGAATAGACATATTGTTGGTTTTGATATACAGCTGTTATAAATTAGACAATTTCAGTTTTTTTCTCTAATCAAGAATGAGAATATGTCTGTTTTGAAATGCATGTTTCTAAAGTACTACTGTGAAACAAAGATGAATGCAACTTTATTTATGTACATAGCACCTTGTAATCTCTTGAAACACAGTTTTTAAAGAATCTTTGGGAGATTCAATTAGAGGTAGAGTCACATTAATGTATTGGGAATGGATGCAATGGATAAATATGAAGTTAAATCAGATGAATCATACTCTCAGATTCAAAGATGCTCCCACTTTGTACAGCATAAAAGTTACTAATAGCAATATTGAATGATAGTTTACAGAACTTCAGAAAGGGGTCTGATCTAGATTTTTGAGTCTGGATCCTGTGGTATTAAATGTATTACAAAATGGCATTAGCACATCTGCTAATGCCACTTTGTAACACATTGTAACACAACAAAATATATTTAACTATTCTATACCATAGTTAAATGATATGATGATTTCATATTTATTTTTGATGTTTACATTGTAACGCTTTATCTATTTTTATTGAGAGTCCAGATAGTTTCCTAATGACGTGTTACATGAACAAGAGTTCAGTTTGTGTTACTGGACTTTACATGAGCAATAAGTAAAAAAAAAAAATTTTTAATGAATCAAAAACCCAAAATAATTATTACATGTAATAATTAAAAATCTATTTATTCTTCTAAGCCTGAATATGTACAATAACAAAATAAAGTTTACAAAAATTCAAAATGTAATAAAAAGATATTTTATTGTATCCAAAAAACCAATATATTGTATGTACAAGAAACTTTTCCCAACACTTGGGGACTTATAAATTAAATTATAACTATCCTAGAATTATCTTTGCTTTACTGACAAGAAAAAAATATGGAATGGAAATTTGTCAAAAATTCACAAGGAAATCTTATAAATTAACTTTGTCTAACTGTCATCAAGAAACTTCTATGTGGTCAATGGAACTTGAAAGCCTTGCTTTTACCTCGCTTGATCCTTTCTTCCAACTTGTTCGATCTCAAGCTTTACCTTCTCCTCCTCTTAGTGTGGTTGTGGTGACATTACATGATTATGCCTACTTGACCCTATTTACATATTTAAGTGGCTAACATTTGTTTAATTCTAGTAATCATTCTTTGAGTTGTGTCATCACCCTTACATTTAATCTTTTATATTTTTATTTGTTATTCTTTGGTGACAATTTGGGGCAGGAATTATTCTTTTAACTTCCCATTTAGAGATAGTGTTTTTAGGTTTGATGATGTAATAGGGTGCCTTCAGCAATCGTCATAGTAAGGTGAATTTAGAATTTTGTCTGGGCGAGGTGCAGTAATCTACCTTATTGAAATTAAATGCCCCAAAATAAATAAGAAAACGAACTGAAATTAATCTGAAGCAAAATATAACAGGTCAGAATCAACTCCTTTCAACGTGTGTTGTAAATACATTTGAACTTGATTACAACAAGCAAAACACCATAACAATTTTAATTTGTGTGTATTTTCATACACGGGCCAAACTGCAAATCATGCCCTTACTGTAGCCATGCTCAACTGCAATTTTCCATGGCTACAGTAAGGGCATGATTCATGGTTTGGCCTGTGCCTGCACCAACCGTCTTCCCCCATGCAGCAGTGCTATTTCCATACATTTTCTTATGGTTATAATGAGCAAATTTTCAGTAGCTATGTAACTATGCAAACATGTAAACATTCTTAATTGTTCAAGTAGTAGGAAATACAGTACCAAATTCTTGGATTAGATAAAACAGAAAGGATTATTTAGTTTTATTACCATTAGATAATTAGTTTTACACTGATTACAGGCCTATTTATCACTTAACTTTCTTTTTGGAGACCATTCCCCTCTTTCTTGACTAGCTTCCGGCTACTCTGCCAATTTATTTAATCATCACTACAATTATAAAATTACTGTATACTCTAGTTAGAAATGACCATTACATGAGAATGATGTCTATGAAGAAAAGAAAATGTCTCTTGGTTTAAAAAAAAATGTAGAAATTATCCACAAGTTAGAATGTGGTGCTAAAATTGTTAAAGTGTGTAGAAAGTTTTTTGTTATCTTTGACAGTATCGACATTTTCAAAAAATAAAGCAATCATGATTTTTAAGATTTGTAGACAAAAAGACTAACTAAAATTGGGTTATTATTAGGTTGTTCGGAAAGTAAGTTAATTTTTTTTACCACTAGATGTATTAGTCATATTTTTCCCACCATTTTCATTCTAAATTGTAGTATCATTATATATTTTGACAGCTAGCATTTTAAGGCTTATTTGTAAAAAATATTGTTTGATTTTATGCAATTGTTTATTTTTTGTGTCCCATCAAATATGA